TATATATATATATATATATATATATATATATATATATAGTGTATATATACTGAATTAACACATTGTTACAAGTATGAACATATATTTGGGTTAATATAATGGAACATTTTTCAATATTTTTCAGAAGGGCCACAGTTTGCGTGAGAAACTTGCTGAAATGGAAACCTTCAGAGATATATTGTGCAGACAAGTTGACACATTACAAAAATATTTTGATGCCTGTGCTGATGCTGTCTCCAAGGATGAGCTTCAGAGAGATAAAGGTATTAATTTAAATATACTTAAACTAAATCATTCCCTCATTCTAAAATGGTATATATTGCAAATTATCATTCATTTTAGGTGGTGTAATATGATCGTATAAAACTATGGTGACTATAATGGACCAAGAACAGTTTCATAGGGAACTGAGGGTTATCCCTATTGGTCTGCTGCCTGTTCCATCCAAAGCCTTGGTTGCTGATCCGAATAAGGCAACTGAGGCCTTTGATCAGATCATGCCCATGTGACCTGTCACCTCTCAGGGATCTCATCACTCCTCATGTTTATGAAGGACATGATGGAATGGGAGGTGCTCAGTAAAGGACAAACTCATCAACAGAGTCGCTATTAAGACCTACATTCAGATAGTGAAGCTCCACTATTTTTCTGCCCTTATTGTCATGCCTTAACCCTGTTTCAGGTGATATGGGCCATCTGGGGGAGGTGTGGAGATCTTCTTATAGTGGTATGCAGGGGAATTTATGTATTCAGGTATCCAGTTGGATGCTGGCCTGAAGAGATGCCTAGAGAAAAGCATTGCTGGTTGTCTGGAAATGGTTTGAATCTGTTGGGTCTGAGGAAGTGCACAGCGTCCTTAGGACTGTGAGCTTGGGCATATGTTTTTTTAATTTATGCCTCTCAAGTGTTCTTAATGGTGACCCACAGGGTGTCATGTGAATGAATTCTGATGGTGGTTATTTGTTCTTTGAGTGAAGAGGTTGTTTCCTTTGTCTCTTAATGGGAGGCTTGTTTGTTCCCTCCTCAAGAAGCCACAGCTGGATCCCACTATATTAAGCAATCTTTGTCCAACGATCCCTCTCCCTTTCTGAGGAAGGTCATAGAAAAGATAGTTACCTGTTCTGTCCCCCCTTCTCTGTTTTTTAACAGACGGCAGGCAGAAAAACTTAAAAGGACTCTCTTATCAGTTCTCGGCTCAGACTGGCTTCGAGCCCAAAAATAACATAAATACAGTCTCTAACGAGATAAC